CTGCCCCCCCGCCGCCACCCCTAAGCGACAGCGCATTTACGAGATTTGCGTCGCACAGCTGGGAGCGCACACAGTTTACGGCCATCATTCTTCATTCTTAATCACTGTAGTTATTACTGTGTTGATGGTGCCGTACTCGCTGCGCTCTCTAAGCCGCTGTTTCTCTACTGGTGGAGTCCATTTGCAGCGGGTTGTGGGATGTATGGTTAAAAAAAATTACCTGCATATATGCGTGTGTGTGAATTTTTTACTTATACATATAAAAGTTCTTTATCGTGACTTGATGATCAAGGTAAAAATGGCTCCTGAGGGCTAAACCACTTGAGAATCACTGCTCTAAAGCCACTATCCAAATCACAGCCAAACCCCGGCCACCCCCACCATCATTTCAAGTGGACTCGCCCAGAGTCGACTTGCACTCAGATTCAGCAACAAGTGGAATTGCACAGATCTGGGCCCATGAAACGTTGGCGTGGTTCATGGACGTTCCCCATCGCATGTGCTCCCTCACCCTGACATGCGTGCTGATCTCGACACCAACCATCCAACAATCAAAGCACCACTTGGGGAAGGCGGGAGTGATATAAAACTAGAGACAAGTGTAACGGTGAGGGTAAAGGCTGCCAAGGTTAACCTCAGCTTTATTCTTCTACTATAAATCTTCTTCTGGATACCACAGATTCTGCAGGAAGCTGGTAGAACGTTCCTCAGCCTGTTGTGTGGAGCGGGAAAAAAATGAATTCAGATTTTTGTAAAACAATTTTCCGGATCTGCTTTGATCCCTCACGCTTATTTCAGATTTTTTTCATGGCATCCAAAAGACAAAACAGGTCCAATTTGCCTCCTTATGTTAGCGAGTCTAGCGTGACAATACGCAAATGTAGAAGAGCTCTAGACCTCTGAACTATCAACACCATCCGCTGAATAACTTGAGGCAGTTTAGACCGAGAGATGAGCTGAACCCTACAGCATTTGAAAAGAATGCAGAGTCACCCTGTAAATGTAACCCAAACAAACCCCCAGCCATCTGCAAGGCAACAATGCTACCCACTGACTCCCACAATTCACTCGGGTCTTATTTCACCTTACACAAGTGAAACAAAAGCTTTTAGTTGGAGGTCACAGTGCTACGTTTCACAACAATGACAACCGAGCGGAGTAAAAACAAGTTAACGCAAACACAAGAGGACCTGTTTGCAGGTCCTGCAGACACAAATTTCCAGGACCGTCATATGCAATAAAAGATGCTCTAATGAACAGTATGTACTCATTAATAAAGGATGTTCAGCGTATTAAGAGTAACAAAGGTTACCTAGGATACCAACTAATGTTTCCCCACGCTTGTCAGCTTTGGCGTGACAGAGTTAGCGGGCACGATTCCCGAGTCACGCAAGTCACAAGAACTTAGAAACTGTGATGAATGTTCAGCATGGGAGGGAATATATTTAAATATTGTTTCCAAGCTATTCCCAAATTTAAAAATGAAAGCTTTCATGCGTGTCTTAAGTGAAATGCACAGAGGGGAAAAAAAATTAAAAATGCCACACAGGTCTGTGAAGAACCTGGCTAGAAGAATATTTATCTTATCATTACTGTAAGAGGGTTTACTGGAAACATTTCAAACTTGACTACTGTTAAAACGGATAAATTACGCTCATTACAACCATAGCATGTAAGCAATTCTTCACCCTGCGTGGTCTGTGACGTTAACGTAGGCAAACATTTCCTACGTTTTAACAAACAAACAGCAATAATATAATGCAGCATATAATACAGTAAGATAAACAGTATTACATAGTAACATTCGTAGAATGTTTTTTTTGAAGAAGAAATGTTTCCACTCTGTCTGGTTTTCATTGTTTACAGGTATAATTTATCCGGGTTTTTCCACAGCCAACCATGTGCCAAGAGGCCAAAGTTCACCAGAGCTTCCTGTTGAAATCAACTCTGGCGTCACCCTCTGTGTTGTGCTAGCGCCTTAAATACGCACACCTTAAGCTCAACACCTACTGTACATCTTTACTGAGGATTACCAGCAAATAAACACAGTTACTTTTCAGTTTAACTGCACCTGAAAAATAATCCTAGCAGAGTCAGGCTTGGTTGCTGACACAGACTGACATGGGATAGCCAGCCTAGACAGAGTAAAAATTTCTATATTCCAATGATATCATATACTGAAGTATTAAGGAAGAATCGATATGTGTGTGCAACATTAAGGGAAGCGGAGAGCTGACCTGTTTCAAAGACGTGTTCTCGTTTGCCTGCGCCTTGCAAGCGCAGGTGTGTTTGTTTGGACCTGTGGGTGTGTGTGAGGTCATGAGCTTTGTTTAGCTTCTGATTACAGAGGGGGCGTGTCCACACGGGAGGCCACGCCCCCATCTCGCCTTCATGGAGACCCACGTGTCTGCATTTCACCGTGTGCAAAAACCCACTCGCCGCTCCCACGTCTCACAGGGATCCGGCTCTCGTCCCACACCGGCCATATGCTCCGAAAATCCCCCGCCCCCATCTTGCCGTCTGGACCCAGGATGCCCAGGCTGTTGCCCTGTTCCCCCAGCCCCACTTTGAGATCCCAGCCCGGATCTTCATCATAGCCACTCTGCTCCCATACAGTATATTATTCATTTTATTTAGCAGCTTTATCCCAAAGTGACTGACAATTCTTTTTAAGGAGGGCAAGCCAGTGCCTGCAGCAATTTGGAGTTAAGGGCCTTTCTTAAGGGCCCAAGGGCCCAAGGTGCCATCTGTCTGCTGACCCCAGGATTCGAACCGGTGACCTTCTGATCACAACCTGAGCATGAGTCTTATTATTAAACAAAACTGACCCTTAAAAGCTGTTATGCTACATTTACTTACTGAATTACAGCACATGCCATTATACAGAATGACGTCTGATTACCTCACTGGAGAAATTCCAGTTAAGGATATACAAATACATGGAAATAGGGTCCCCTCCATGACCAAGCCCTTCATATCCAAGCTTCCTCTGGCCACCTGCCCCCAGAAACATGTTCTATACAATTTCAGCACAATACAGTAACTTCACTCCTTATATGCAGTATTCCTCTCATATGGATTCAGCTGCCTTCCCAAATGGAGCACAGGGGTAACACCTTATATGGTGTCTTGATACTGCTTTCAGCCAAAATCAGGTGTGGGGGTGAGGTGGGCTTTCAGACTCAGGTGACCAGGGTAATTTGCATCGTTTACACGCACCTGTACCCAGCTGCTGGCAGTGCATACAGGTAGATACAGGTAGATACAGGTACATACAGGTAGATACAGGTAGATACAGGTAGATACAGGTACATACAGGTAGATACAGGTACGCCTCTTTCGTTTTTCTTTGTCCCCAGTAACTATTTGAGGCTGGTTCTGGGACCTCTGTTCACCTCCACCTCTGTTGTTTCAGTGGGATGTTTTTGTACCGTCCAAAAAGCCAGAAATTAATTTCCGTTCTTTGCTTATTGTCATGTTGGGCTCAAATCCACTCCGCCAAGGCCATGGGGGGGTGCAGCTATTCATCCATCCCAGCCTGACCTGCCACATGGTTTTACTTGCTTGACGTAAACAGCAGATATCGGCACCGCTGAACGGCATTCACGGTACACAGCACACGAGCACGGGTGACGTAACTCTGGACCCCGACCGGCGGTGGGACTACAGCTCTGCACTTTGAAGCTTCAGCGACGCGGGCCGGGACTCAGGATGCCTGACGTCTTCGGCGCCGCCGACTGAGCCGAGGGGCAGCTGAGACGCACCTAAACAACCCCCCCCCCCACCCCCCCCCCCGCCCCCCCCCCCGGGGGGGGGGGGGGGGGGGGGGGGGAGGACGGGGGGGCCCCAGGCCCC